GGGGAGGAAAACATTGATATGAAAGAGACACACTGATTGGTTGCCTCCCGCACACGCCCCAACCAGGGCTGGGCATTGAGTCTGCGACCAGGGTACTTGTACGCACCCTTGGCCGGAATCAAAACTGGGACCCTTTAGTCTGCAGGCTGACACACTAAGCACTGAGCAACCCGGCTAGGGCTAGAATAATTTTTTTTTTTAAATGAGAGAAATGGTGAAGTTAATCTACGTAAAGTTTACCCACATTACCTTTTCTGATTTTTTCTCTTCTGTTTCACTACTGGATGTTCTTGTCCTAAGTTTCACAGAGCCTTCTTTAAAAATATCTCCAAATCCAATCCCTCGAATTTTCTTTGGCTGTGTCACCGATCCAGGCGCAGTGTCATTCCCATTCCCCAGAGAGGAGAAAGATAAGGTGGGCCCAGTCCATACAGATTCTGAAAGAACAATGTGTTTCTTAAGAAGGACACCTAACATCACGAGACTCCTGATACTCCCCTTCCAGACTGTTTACATTCTGTACCTCCTCATAAAAAATGCCAAGTAAAAATAATACTCAAATGGCCGAGTACTAACATATTCAAAAAAGTAATATGCACTTTATACTGATGTTTTTCTGAATGTTACTGTGTTAAACAGTAACAATTTAGGTATTTTTAATTAGTAAAATGCTAATTAATAAATCCAAAAAATCATATTATACAAGATCCTTAACAAGAGCATGTCAAATATACATCTTTGGGCAAAGATATGAAATATAAGACTGAAGCATATAAAGTTGAGCCAAAAATCTGGTAGCCACTAGCTCTTCTTTCTCAGTCATTCCCATATCCCATCATCACAAGGTGCAGTTCTTTATACCACCTATTTAGCTCCTATTCTACCCATGTTTCTCCATCCCCATGATCATTACTCTAATATAAACTGATACTATTTCTGCCTTAATTATCAAAACATTTTCAACTAATCTCCCCATCCCAGTCTTACTCATCTCCAATCCACTTTCAATAATGCAACCAAACCAATCTATCTAAAAAACAATCTAATCATTTCAACTCCCCTTTAAGGCTTCTTGGTGTCAGAGTTTAGCATTTTTGTAATGCCTTCTTAAACGTGACCGAATAATTTCTCCAGTCTCAACACTCACCACATCCAAGTATATACTCTACAATCCCTCTAAATTGAATGTCTCACGATCTTGAAAACACTATGCTCTTTGTTCACCCTCTGAAACAAACTTGCCTAGGGATTTCCTACCTTTTCTGGGATCTCAATCTGTAACTTCCTCTGGGGTGCATTCCCTTATATAGTGCTAAATTTGGTTTCTCTTACATGCATCTATAGCACTCTAAACTTTCCCGTCACAAACATTTCTCATGTGGAATTATAATCACTTGTTTAATCAATAGTCTTTTCTTTCTCAAAGGACCAAAAGCTTCAAATATGGAAAAGAATCATGCTTATGTTGTTCATTATTGTATTCCCAGAACCTTGCATAATATGTTCACCAATTAGCACTCAATATATTAAATAAGCAAATACATGAATTTTGAATTATTAAATAATAGCTTTTATATTAGGAATCTCTCTTCACTGGATTTGTCTTTCAAATTTCAAATTTAAGAATGCACTGACTCCATCCATGGGAAATGCCACTGAATCACATATCACTACTCATAACTCTCACAGGGCTAAAAGTACACGAGAAGACAGTTCTACAGGTATGATTTTTTTTAAAAATTGAGAGACAACAGGCAAACCAAATGGTTAAAACAGTGAGAATCATTTATATCCATATCCCCATATATTAAACAGCATAGTAACGTAGAAAGTTCAAAATTTCAATTATGATTTTTACCACTCCATGCCCGAATAATCTGTTACAATTTCTTCACCTTTAAAATGGAAGGGAACTAACCTCCTCAAAAGTTATGAGAATTTAACATGACAAAGTGCTTGAAAAATTCTCTGTACACCACAAAAGACTTTTCATTCATTCATTGAGCGTCAATATGCCAATATTCTAAAAACTGGGTATGCAGCAATGAACAAAATAAAATGTATATTCTAACACGGGGGTAGACAGACAGTAAGAAAATTAATAAGGACTAATAACAAGTACACCAAAGATGAAAGAAGACAAGGGAATTAGAATGGGGGGTGGGAACTTTTGGCTGTTCTACACAGAGCTATCAGGAAATGCCTCGCTGAAAAGGTGACTTCTGAGCAGGCTACTGAAATTGTATCAAATGCCATAAGGAGATCTCAAAGAAGATTCCCAAAGGTATACAGCAAGTTCAAAGGCTGTGAGACTTCTTTTTTTTTTTTTAAATATATCTTTATTGATTTCAGAGAGAGGAAAGAAGAGGGAGAGAGAGAGATAGAAACATCAATGATGAGGAGTCATTGATCGAGCCTGCAACCCAGGCATGTGCCCTGACCGGGAATCGAACCCCGATTGCCTGGATCCTAGGTCGACGCTCAACCGCTGAGCCACGCCCAGCCAGGCTGTGAGACTTCTTAAAATGGGTAGCTACTAGAGGTGAGCACTGAACGTTCAGAAGGGAGGTAATGGCAAATAACAGGCTATTACAATTATGCAGCAAAATAAAACTTACACCAGGGAGCAGTAGTGGAGGTAATAAAAGAAAACAGGTTCTCCACTTTTACTTAGTAGGTGACAAAAACAGAGTGTGAGATTAAAATTAAGAGTAAAAGATGAATCCAAATCTTTGGTCTAAGTAAGAGAGAGAAGGAGTTACCATTAACTCAGATAAAATTGTGTATAGGGCAGATCTGGGTGAAAAGGGCAGAAGATCAGTTTTGACCATCTTAAGTTTAAGATGCTTATTAGACATCTATAAATAGAGATTTTCACAGGCTTAAGGTGGTGAAAAGATTATACAAGGGAGGAAAATTCCAGCAGATATAGTCACTGGCTTTATAGAATAAGGGGAAAATTGAAAGCAAGTCTTACTTAGCAAGTAAGTAGAATCTGAACGTGGCAAAAGGACACACTAAACAAGAAAAGGTTATATATATTTGACAAAAATGAGTTATTTTGTTATAAAAATGGAAATATAACACTTCCCTTGAGAAGCTTTTCATCAAATTAAATACTAAAAGATTTTTATCTTGAGATTTTACATAGAAACCAACCAGAACAAATTATGAATTCATTCACCACATTCCTATAAAAAATATAATAGTGACTCTCTTATAACTTTTATTCTAAGGTCACTCAATGAAAACGGAAGGCATAAAAATAAATTACCCATGAAGACTCAGGTAATACTGTCCACCTTTTTTCTAGAGTCAGAATTATCTACTTAGCAGTAATAGCTAAGAGTTTTAACTGGTCAAACCAAGAATATCATCCCATATATTTCAGTTTATTGATTAAAAGAAGAGAACAGAAGAGCTCTACTAAATGTAAAGAAGTATAAGGAGAAACTATGTAAAATAATCAAATTGTGGTAGATATGGCATTCCAATACTCTAAGCAAAAAATAACATTTTATAATGTCCAGTTGACAATAATTCCTATAACAGCTACTAGAAATACACACTATTTTACTAACTAAAAAGACTGTTAAAATACCAATTATAGACACAGGACATTACACTTTGTTAGGACACAGGAAGAGTGAACGTCAATTCTTTAAGTCATAATGCATAAGATCAAACTCTTAAATTAAAACTTAAAGGACTATATACTTTCATCACTGAAGTCCTAAAGTCTTTACAAAGCACTCACTTCCTGGCATTCAAATCGATATTCAAAAACTCTCTGCCTAAAAATTAAGAATTAAAAAAAAAGGAATTATAGGGTACTTAAACCGCTGACTTACCACCCCATAATCACAAAGCTCCACATTTAGAATGCTTGTTATTGTAAAGGGGTTAAACAAGCAAGGAAGTATATTTTTAACAGATACAACTCTGCAAGGTTACTAAAAATTCAAATAAGGCTCAACAGTGCAAGAAAATGCCCAAACTATTTATAATTATAAAAATAATAATCTACATCAAAATTTAAATTTGATTTATTTTGCTAGTGGTCCCATATGGACTTTAAATTTTGTGCAGTTGTTTTTTGTTTTTTTTTAAATCCTCAGCCAAGGATATTTTTTCCATCGCTTTTCAGAGAGAGTGGGAGGCAGGGAAAGGAGAGAGAAGAACATCGATGTGAGAGAGACATATCAATTGGTTGCCTCCTGCACACACCTCGACCAGAGCAGGGGATCCAGCCTGCAACGGAGGTACATGCCCTTGGCTGGACCTGAACCTGGACCCCCTCAGTCCGAGGGTCGACGCTCTAACCACTGAGCAAAACCAGCTAGGGCTGTACATATTTTAAGGGCTCAATTTATATGGCATCATAAAAATCATTTCACCATAAGCTTTAATATCAAATTTTAATGTTAAAAGTAAATATCAGAGGATCCAATACCTATAAAACATAAGAAATACCAATATGGATCAGAAGTAATTCAGGGGACAGTTTGCTAAGGAAAAGGTGTACCATTAAATTTAAGCCAGATGTTTTCAGTACCTATATTTGTTCTCTAATGGTTTTTATACATCCTCAAAACGTAAGTTTTGACTTCAGAATTGGTACCAAGCATTCTCAAGTAAGTGTAGCATAAAATAATACATCAATTTGTTATGACTCCTCTATTTATTCCTATCTCAGTGATTTTCTATCTTTCAATGGAATCAGCATCTGTACTGAAGATTGACTTCAACATCTTTGACTTCAGGAATTTCTAAAATTAGGACATTGGCAAACTCAGAACAAAACTGTATGTAAGCCTATCCTAAGTGGGAAGAAATAAGGTAACATCAGTATTACCATTTCACAATCGGGGTATTAAAGGTTTACTCTAGGCTGAAGCAGACATCAGAGGAAAAAAACATTCAATTATTTTGCCTAGCTGCTTAGCTCATTTTGAGACCCTGACATAAAGCTGGTGGATTTTTTCCCTGAAAGTAGATAAACCAAAGCTCACAGTTCAAAAGCAAGAAAAGAGTTTCAAAAAATACAAAATAAACACTAGATGATACATAAGGTTTACTTAAATCTATTCAAAAATTTTTAAATAGTCTACCTGAATCCTCCTGGGCTTCATGACTTTCACCATCATCTGTTACCTCTATTTCTTTCACAAAATTTGAGGGAAATAGTCCCAATTTGTTGTTCAGGGTTCCACTCCACCAGCCTTCTTCTACCTGAAAGAAAGAGCTCACAACTCAAAAATAATAAAAATTTCTCTTAAATGAAAATCTTCCCCCTATGGGAAAATTAAGCTACAGAAGTGAATGAGCCCAGTTAGTAATGCAAAATAATCCCTTTAAACCTGTAAAAAAACACAATGGGAAAATGTATTTTAAGCAGATTAAATCTAAATTGACTGGATTAATCATATCAATAGCACTTTGCAACATTTACAACGAGAACTTGTAATCAATTGTAATCTATAAAGAAATTTTCATGAAAGTATCAAATAACCAAGAATAATGTATTAATAGCAAGAAGTAGATAGACTATAAAAAAGTACCAACAATAAAGGCACTTGATTCTCTATGTTCACTGAAATGCTTACACTTAAGAGCCCTGAACTGCCATGTAATAAGACCACCTATCCTGAGACCTCCCCCTACTAACTATAGTAAAAAAGCCAAACCAAATGGAGAAACTACATAATGGCTCTACATAGGAAATCCTAACCTTCAACTCTTCTAAGCACCAAACATGTCAGTGAAGAAGCTCTCCCATGATTCCACTGGCACCCAACCTTGAATCTTTTCAGTTGAAGCCCCAAAGAACAGACATAAGTCATGCCTGCTGAGCCCTATCTGAATTTGTGACACACATACCCATGAACCTAATAAACCAACTATCTTTGCCACAAAGTTTGGTATGGCATGTCATGTAGCAACAGTAACTGGAACAGGCAATCACTTATCTTCTATGATTCAATCTATACATATGTAAAATTGGGATAAAAATTCCTATTTCCAGGTTGTTTAAAAATTAAAAGGAAATAATAAATGTGAATGTCAATATTTTTCAGACATAATATTGGTTCCATAAACATTATTATTATTGCCACCTAGCACAAATAAAACAGAACTGCCTTTTGTATAAACACATTGGAACTTAACATAAACCTAAGTGATAAACTGTATTACATGCTGTTAGGACACAGTATCAATTCCTGTGACAATATACGATATCAAAACATATACTTTGAAAATGAGAGCTTCAGGTGCCAAATAAAACTTTAATATTCCTTTAATGGTAAAAGCAGAGATATGAAAGCTATTTTAAAAATATTTTTAAATATCATTCTAAGATATTAAAGTGAGGGAAAAGTGGTTCGGACTAATATTTCAATGTGATAATTCAAACAATGCAAAGCTTTTTAAAGATTTGCTTTTGTATTCCTTTGCTATGTAAAAGGTAAAATTCCTTCTATTTTACCGCTGCTTTGTGCCTAACGTGAATTCAAAATCAAAGGAAAGATTTATTTATATTCTTAGCCACTTCGATTACATTAATTTTTAGCTTAAAGGTTTTTTCTTTTCTTCCGCAAGTCAACAAATACAAATACAGTACACAAATATTGGGTACAGCAAGGATGAGCGAAGTTTTATTTCTACATATAAGACAAGGTATTAAGTCATTAAAGATCCATTTTGAAGTCTTTATCTTAAAATGTTTGTTAAAAAAAGACAAAACAATGAAACTTGCAAAAAACTGTAACAAAAATTAATATCCTTACAAAGCATTTTTCTGATACCCAGAGCATCAATTCTAATTACTGCTTTATCTCTAACACGTTTTCCTTACCTCATCATTAATATCAATAATATCCCCCACTTTCAGTTCCAGTTCATCATCATTTTGTGGAAGGTACTCAAACAGAACTTTACACTGCCGCTTCTTGGTCTCTAAAGGAAGTAACATAAAAAAATTAGGTTAAGAAAGATCATTAAAACAAACAACAGCACCTTTATTTACATACTATGTTCACTGTCATAGGATTTAGTCACATGAACAAAAACAGAACATATAAACATTCTAAGCAACTAACCACAATCAGTTCTGGTTAGCTTTCCACCTTGACCCACATTACAATCTATTCAGCCCAAAATGAATTCAAACGAACTACAAATAAGGCACAAGGATCACAGCATCACAGCAATGAAATCATTTATACATCTGATCCCACCAATTACACAAAAGTAAAATATCCACTGCCAATTTTGAGACTAGAACTACAGACAATAAAAGACACTGTTGGCACAACAAATTTATCACATACAAGTCCTCCAAGCCAGTGATTTCCAGACTACTTCCTGATCAAAATTCAGGAATTCTTAAAATGCACTAATTTAAGAGTATCTGTATTAAAAAAGAGGCAAAATGCACAAATACAAATGTACTTTATTTTCAATAGCTGTTCTCTGATAGATAAAAATCAAACTCATATAGGTAAAGATAAAAATAATTTTACTTTAGCTTTTCAAACAAGCTTCATTTATTCAGACAACTAATGATCATTTATAACCATCCAGCTTTGTGGTTCTCAACTTCTTTCAAACTCTTAATAACTGAGAACTTAGACTCACTCCCATGGATCCTGAGACCCTTCAGTCTGAGGATTGACGCTCTAATCACTGAGCCAAACTGGCTAGGGCTCACTCCCATCTTTAAAAGTGAATCTTTAGAGCATCTATGGGTAGATGACCAGGTATGGCTGATTAAAGGATTGCTTCTTGCTACTCAAAGAAATCAAGAGAAGGCTGAGACCTGGAAGGGCAGCAATGGAAGAATTAGGAAAAATCATCGAAAGCAAAGATGTGTTATTAAAGACCAAGACTAAGATTACCCATACGCTCATATTCCCAATTACTATCTACAAATGTGAAAGTTGGACAGTGAAAAAGGTAGATAGAAAAAAATTGAGCCCGGCCGGGCATGGCTCAGCCGTTGAGCGTTGACCTGGGATCCAGGCGATCAGGGTTCGATTCCCAGTCAGGGCACATGCCTGGGTTGCAGGCTCGATCAATGACTCTCTCATCATTGATGTTTCTATCTCTCTCTCTCCCTCTCCTTTCCTCTCTCTGAAATCAATAAAGATATATTTAAAAAAAAAAAAAATTGATTCATTTGAAATATGATGTTGGAGGAAAGCTGTATGGCTACCCTGGACCACCAGAAAGATGATCACGTGGTTACTAGAGCAAATTAAGCCTGAAACATTGCTGGGGCAAAAATGACAAAACTGAAGCTGTACTACTTTGGGCACTTCATGCAAAGGCAGTTACTTCAGCTCTAACATTCTACAGATCTATGAAATTATCAACACAAAAAAATAAATCCAACTGAACCCCAAAACAACAAAAGAATACTGCAACCAACATCATGAAGAGGTGCAAAACAGACGTGACAATCAAGTAGACAGAAGAATCTAGTCTCCAAATAAGAAACAGTTACACCTCAGTAATAGTTTCCCCCCTTCCTAAAGGAGTAATTATATCTGATTTTAAAAATGTTTTACAATAAAAGGAACCAAAAAAAGATAACACTGACCATACTTTTATAACTAGCCTAGAGTTTACAGTAAAAATGTTCAAATGTTAGTTTTCATCACATCTCAGAATAATTTTAAGTAATAATTTAAGAATAGTGGCTTTATGCATACTGCAGGAAAACTTCTCAACTTAGACTAGAGATGAGTATACTCCCTCAACACTTTTGCAAGTTTCTGAAGTGGCCTTGAGAAAATGTGCTCATAAATGTGTTCTTTGGAGTTAGCACCTCATAAAAGAGAAAATGATTTTTATTATTGAAAAGGAAAATCTACTTTTTTCAAGGTGCACTTCAAAGAAAATCTTTTGTACTTTTCTGATAATCAGGCCTTTAAAAAAAAACATAGCTTGCTTTTAAATGAGTATAAACATCTTTTTAAATTATTTAAGGTAAAAAAGAATATTAATTAGTCTCCCATCCCTAAGCATTATCAATCAACTTTGAGCAGCCTAGTTATAGTTTAACCAAAAGTCTTGGTTTTTCTTCCTCACACCAAGCATAATTCTCCACTGATTGTATTTTGTAAAATTATGCAAAGGAATTTTTCATTTTTCAAAGGAAAGAGCCACACTGGATAAAACAACTAAACAGCCCCTATTATTAACACAAAACATGAGTCATTCATTCTAAAAATATTCTTTCACAAATCCACTTTTAAATGTGGTTCACTCCTAAGTTGAAGTGATGGCCTCTATTGAACTTATCTATTAATTGGCAGCAAAATTAAAAAATTTTTAGCTTTTCACATTTTCAAACAGCATACACAACGTCTACCCATACATATTGATCAATAAATATTTACTTAAGTACCACAATGTATCAGAACCTCTCTAAACACTAAAGAAAAAACCAATACATGCAATAGCAGAGTTGTCAATTTAAAAAAAATGCATGAAATTAAGTCGATTTTAAAAAATTGCAACTAGAATTTTATTTTTATTTTTTAATTTATTGATTTTAGAAAGAGAGGAAGGAGGAAGGGAGGGAGGGAAGGACAGAGAGAGAGAGAAACAAACATTGACTTGTTCTACATCTTTATGTATTTATTGGTTGCTTCCTGTATGTGCCCTGGGATCAAACCAGCAACACTGGCATATCAGGACGACACTCGAACCAACTGAGCTACCTGGCCAGGGCTCCTTTTATTTAAAAAATTTTTTTTAATTGAATTTATTTGGGTTGATATTGGTTAATAAAATTATATAGGTTTCAGGTATACAGTTCTACAATGCATCATTTGTATATTGTAGTATGTGTTTACCACCCCATGTCAAGTCTCCTTCCATCACCATTTATTCCCCTTTCTCCTATCTCCCCTGCTCCCTCTGGCAATCATCACACTGTTGTCTGTGTCCATGAGTCTTTCCTTTTTCCTTCGCTTAATCCCTCCACCTTCTCACCCAGCCCCCAAACATCTCCCCTCTGACAGCTGTCAGTCTGTTCTCTGTATCCATGAGTCTGTCTCCCCTTTGTTAGTTTATTTTGTTCATTAGATACTACACATATGTGAAATCATATGGTACTTTTCTAAGTGGCTTATTTCACTTAGCATAATACTATCCAAAAGTAGTAACTAGTATTTTCTTATCACAAGTAATCTCCACATAGCTTTTCAGATGTACAAACAATATCAAGAAAGTTTTTTAAATTAATATTTTGTAAGTAAAGCTTTTAACAATGGAGCTGATAAAGGAGGTACAACAAAGGCAGGGACATATTTCATGTCTTCGATGTATCACTGCTATTCTAAGTCTTTCTCAAACATCTTCCATACAACACACCATAAAAACGCATTATCATCATTTTACCAATGAGAAGCAGGAGCTCAGAAGTTAACCTGTCCAAGACCACAGAGCTAGAGAGGCAAAACTAGAACTATACCCACTTCTGATCCTTAAGGCTTTTATCTTTCCCCTATAGAATCATGCTGCTTCCTTTACAGACCACAACGCTTTAACACAGTTCATGCAGTCTAGTCAGGTCAGATCCTTATTCTTTGAAAATACCATACACTTGCTTATCTCCATGGGTCTTCCAAAGGTAGCAATTCTACCTGGAACTCCATAATCCCCAAAGAAAACCATCAAAAGTTAAGACACACAGTGATTGAGTCATTTGCTATATATATGGTTGAATCTTCTGCAAATATTCTTTCTTACCCTCAGCAATAAAAGAATCATAACACTTAGGCCATTAAATGAAAGGTTCAAGCTGGTCAAGATTCCAGTTATACTGCTGAGACATATCACTTAAGACAATCAAAATCTTAGAAAATATTATCATTATCACCATCATGAAACAAAAGCTCATGATTAGGGATGCAGTACCGTATCCACAATGTACTTTCAACTGACTCAGTTTAAAATATGTATTTATGTATATAGACAGAGAAAAGCCAATGTGACAAAATGAAAACAAACTTGGGTGAAGAGCATACCATGTTCATTGTACAAGTATTCTTTCAACTTTTCTGTAAAATGTTAAAATTTTCAAAATAAAATAGAAAGTTGGGGGGGGCAGACAGCGAGAGATAAACCAAAGAACTTCTATACATATATGCATAACCCATGGACACAGATAACAGTGTGGTGAAGGCCTGGGGAGGGGGTGGTAGCGAGGTGGAGGGGATCAATTGGGTGGGGGGAAATGGGACACCTGTAATACTCTCAACAATAAAGATACATTTTTTTTAAAAAGTTAAAAAGTGTAGCATTGGCTATATTGGGTTAAATAAAATATATGATCAAATTTTAATTTGTAAAATATGGCTAGTAGAACATTTTAAATTAGATATGTGACCATTATATTTCTTATGGATGGTTCCATTCTAAGAATGTATTTGTCTGTGTGTGTGTGTGTGTGCTTACACACATTTCACATTTCTTTTATTCTCCTAAACTTATTTTTATCTCGTAATCTTAGTTCTCATATTTCCCTTATTTCTCTATTTCCCCCCTNAATAAATAAAGTATGATGTCAAAAAGGAAAGTTAGAACACCCTACCCCATTCATTTGAGAGGCTGTACCTAGGCAGGAGTCATTTGAATGGGTCCTTTTCCCCTTATGAGTCAGAATATTTTAATGTCAAAGAGCAGAGCCTGAACTAATATACTCATTTTTTTAAAAATGTAAGCTGCAAAGATGTACTGTCAGTATAATTCTCAACACCAAAGATGATATTCAGAATTTTCATTACTTTCTTCAGTGCTGGCTCAAAATCAGAAGGCATACTATTTGCTATCAACTGTTTACTAGGAATGAAATCCTAGTCAACTAATTTTTCATACAGCAACATCACTTCAGCACAGCTACTAAGGATCTATCAGTATCAACCTCAATGTATCTTTTTACATTCAAGTTATTAACTAGATGAAAAGTCATTTCTGCAGCATGAGTTCCCCCTAACAAAGAACAGAAAGTTACAAGCCTTCCCTTACACATGCCAAGAGTAGATTCACATCTGACATCCATTTCTTCCACATAAAAAGTGAAATATCTAATATTCCACAATGAATGTTACACAGAGTTGTAATGCTGAAAGATGTCAATTCTTTACTCTCTAAGTAAAATACTCTACGCCATGCATTACCTTTGTGCCTGATTTTACAAGGATCTCAGCAGTAATGTGAGACTTGTACCTGTTTTGCTCTTCTATAACTTTAGCAACTTATAATAGCCAACTGTGTCCTGGAAAACCTTATTTTGTGCTAGCTCTAGAAAATACCTGTTTGACCAAAGAAATTATCATGCTTAACTTACATGGAAAGCAAAGCAGCTTTATTTTTATTTTTTTTAGAGGGAGGGAAGGGAGAGTAAGAGAAAGAAACATTGAGGAGAGAGAAAGATCAGCTGCCTTCTGCACGCCCCCTACTGGGGAACAAGCCCATAACCTAGGCGCGTGCCCTAACCGGAATTGAACCTGCAACCTCTTGGTGCACAGGATATCACTCCATCAACTGAGCCACACCAGCCAGGGCACAAAGCAAAGTTTCAATGGCTTCATGACTAGGCTTAACAAAAAAGCCAACACTTTTTTGGCTTTGGAGATTATAAAAAAATAGCTAACAAGTAGTTTCCAGATATTTAACACTATACTATCTATTTGAACGTGTCCTTTTTAGTTGCTTACACAAAATTCAACACATGCAGATTCACTTGTCTTGGCACACAGATTTAAACTGAATATTCACTCTGCAGTTTTTATCACTATCAACCTTTACAATGGTGGTAAGGTGTATGTTTTTTAAAAAAAACACCATTTCACTGGTTAGTAGTATGCACTACTATTTATCATTGCAATGAACCACTTTTGAAAACTAGTCTATTTTGTAACTTAAGGATATGATGAAAACTAACAGTAACCAAAGAAAAATCAGATTGAAAAACAAAACAAAAAACCATAAGCTTGCTTTTCCTGGAAAAGCAATCTGAAAGCAAAAACAACCTGCATCCTGTTTTAAATGTTACCTAGCACCAAATGACCAATTTAGTCCTTGAGGCACAGGCACTTAAAAACAAGTTATACAGGGTCCTTAGGAAAAAAAACCTAAGCCTCCTGGCACCAACTACATGTTTTTTTCTTTCTTACCAAAAAAAAAAAAGAATTATGACCCATGTTCTTGAGGAAGATAAAATTTAGTGTGCCTTCTCCTATTAGGAGACAAAATAAAATATTCATAACCTTAAAGGGCTTTGTCTAGCCTTAAGGAGAAATTTGTCTCTCTATAGCTCAGTAAAGCTAAAGAAAGTGGTAAGTGGATTTTAGATGGCAGAAGTCATAAATAGCCCTTCTGTGGGCCTAAAAATTCTCCTTGTGCACAGTAATTCTACACAGAGCTTCACCAGTAGGATGTGGACATATTCTGTTAATTATCCCTCAATCTCCAAACAAACAGAATTTCAGAGGCCAGAACAATTAAACTACTGAAACTGTCCACCTTCAGTCAGTGGACTAAAAACAGTACAGGTAATATTTAAATAGTTTGTATGCTGCATTTACTGGGAAACAACACACAGAACCTTTAATTGGTCTATCTCAGTGTCATGAAATGTTTCATTTTTATGAAAATCTGGTTTTATTTTATAAAAGTAATCAAAGGATGACATAATACAGAAAGTGCAGGTTTACCCAAACTTCACAAACAGTAGCATAGAAAGTAACAGGCTGATATATAAGGAGACTATAAAATTCATACAGCCCGGCCAGTCATGGCTCAGCAGTTGAGCATTGACCTAGGATCCAGGAGACCAAGGTTCAATTCCCTGTCAGGGCACATGCCCGGGTTGTGGGCTCGATCTCCACTCAGGGGTGTGCAGGAGGCAGCTGATCAGTGACAACTCTCTCATCAGTGATGTTTCTATCTCTCCCCCCACTCTGAAATCAATAGATATATTTTTAAAAATAAATAAATAAAATTCATACATTTTTCTTACATTTGTGAAATGTATGTGAACAAAATTTCTTTACTGTAGAGTACTTGGTACAGCAAGAGATTTGAAGACCACAATATCAAAGACACTAATCTAAGATAAATGTGGTTGAACACTCATTTACTACTTATTAAACTAAAGTGAACATAGTAATCAGTAATCTATCTCTCAAGGGGCTTCAGGTTTTACTATGTTAAAATGCTATCTGCTCCATAAATGTTGCATTTCTCTGTAGATGTTTAATACTTTTTGTTACAGTCTTTCCCAAGATGTCAAACTCTTTGAGAACAGCAATATTACCAGTCTTTTTTTAACACTTTCTCACCAGCAACAAAATAAAACTCAAGAGTTTAAATGATCTAAGGTAGTAAGACTCCAACTCATGTCTGATTTCAAATGTGATGCTGTCCCTCTATGCTAAACTGTTCTCCTAACATATTTACAGAGTACCAAATATTTAAAAGGCATTTTGTTGGGACAATCACCTTGGAAAACTGAATGTTTATGTTCAGATGTCTAGGCACTAAAGAAACGTACTAACAAAATTCTTGCATCTATCTATACTGCTTAAGAATGAGCAGACATTTAAGCATCTCAGTAAATAAATGGTATTAAAATAAAGTTAAGGCAAAGTGTTAACAGAGCCTGTAACACTAATAAGAAAACAAAGCCTTATATTCTAATTTATAATTCCCACACATCATAGTTGTCAGCAATTCATATAAAGAACTGACTGCAGCCCGGCCGGGCGTGGCTCAGCAGTTGAGTGTTGACCTGGGATCCAGGCGATCTGGGTTCGATTCCTGGTCAGGGCACATGCCCGGGTTGTGGGCTCGATCCCCAGTCAGGGGAGTGCAGGAGGGAGCCAATCAATGGCTCTCTCATCACTGATGTTTCTATCTCTCTCTCTCCCTCTCCTTTCCTCTCTCTGAAATCAATAAAGATACATTTAAAAAAAAAAAAAGAAGTGACTGCATGGGTCAGTAACTGCTAACATGAGAATAGAATAAGTGGGAAGTTTCTGCACTCAGCTACAAAAGGTTGAACTAATTTTTCTTAACATAATTTATAAACAGCTACAAGACATCCTTCTATTTTGACTCATCCTTCTATTTTACTCAACAGTAAAGAAATTATTTACATACTCTTCTTAATGTTTTTAGTTTGTGGATGTGGCTGAATTCCTCCAGCTGGAAGTCCATAGGTGCTTATTCGTTGTACAAGACTTGCAACATTCCCATGCCTTTCCCGTCTGATGGGCAAATTATCATCCTTGGATTCTGTCTCTCTCTTAATTTCCTATAAAAGGGGAAATCAGTAAATAGGCAAGTTAAGTTATATTTTATTAAATTAAATTCTCAAATGTAAAATACCAAAACACAGGTACAGTGATTATTATACAAAACATAATCGTTTTCAAACTTTTTCTCTGCCCACACAAATTTAAAGAATGCAAAGCACTTTGGTAACAGTGGCTCATTATGAGTTTAAGTCTTATCAGAATTGAAGATACAGGTAAAGAAAAGGAAGCTTAAACAACACCTCCACCTTTACCCTAATACACACATTCACCGTGAAATACATAAACAAACAATGACAAAAGATAATTCTAAGGGGTGGATAAACTTTTTCTATAAAGGGTTAAATAATAAAATGTTTTAGACTTGTGGGCCATACAATCTCTGTTTAAATAATAGACTGCTATTTGAAGTGTAGAAGCAGCCACATACTTAAATGAATGAACATAACTATATGCCAACAGAATTTTATTTATGGACACTAAATTTCAATTTTACATAATTTCACGTCATTAAATACTGTCCTTCTTTTGATTTTTTTTTATAACCATTTATAAAATTCTTAGCAACTCGCGGCTCACAGACATTACAAAAACAGGCAGCATCAGATTTGGTCAGTGGGCCACAGTTTGATAAACCTTGTTCTAAGTCAGAGGCTAACAGAAGATAGGCAAACCTTCATGAAAAGAAGTATTAAATTTTATTTGAAGACATAAAACATGATAAAGGGGAAGTTATACCATGTTCAGTGATTTTAAAAACTCATTATCACAAAGATGTCAAATCTCCCTAAAACTGATGTAATGATGCAATGCAATTCCAAAAATATCTCACAGATTTAGGAGAGCAATTTAATAAACAGACTCTAAGTATGTATAGGACAACAAAAGGCCAAGAACAGCCAGAATACTTCATGGAAAAGAAAGTGAGGACTTTTTCTTTTTAACTAAGATATAAAGAAAAACTATATGATACTATAAATTAGTGCAGTATTGGCATAAAAACAAAAATACTGATAAATGAAACAAAATGAAAACAAACTTGATTTAAACAAACAAAAATGAGAAAAAATTAAATCTTAATATGCATTGTGCTTGTAAAACTAATGTTCCCTATTTTGGGTGTAGGGAATAAAACTGGATTCCTACCTCACACATTTGATATTAGAATTAATAATTTCTGTTCATTAAAATTTAGCATTAAAAAAAGTGAATCACTAACCAGATGATATTTTTTCACACACGAAGTTAAAAAAGAATTTCTATCTCCAGGTGTTTGTGTCTACCACAATGTTAACCAGTCGTTACTCTCTAACTAGTAGGATTTCAGATAATTTTGACTCCCTTATACAACAAAAGTGTTTGATGCGCCCGGCCAGCATGGCTCAATGGTTGAGCATCGACCTATGATCCAGGAGATCGAGGTTCAGTTCCCAGTCAGGGCACATGCCCAGGGTGAAGGCAGCTGACCAATGACTCTCTCTCATCATTGATGTTTCTCTCTCTCTCTCCCTCTGCCTTCCTCTCTCTCAAATCAATAAAAATATATATTTTTTAAAAAAGTGTTTGATTCCTGCATTTTTTTTAAACAATGCATAATGTTTTGCAATCAGAATAAAAGTTTTTCCATTCTGGGAAAACTGTTAAACTGGAGGAGAATTGTGAAAAATTATTAAAGTAGAAATCATGGAAGACAAAATATAATAGAGACAGCTTGCTTCATTTTTATGGGTAATGCACTTAAGGAAAAATACTTTGATTTGCTATTAATAATATGTGACATATCAACATCTGAAAATCTGTTTTCAGACTAAGTATTTTTCAAACTAACACAAGCATAAAATCTATGTGAAGACTGGTAGTTACAAACTCAACATGCCAAAGAGTATTATTCATTTTGGATTCTCCTGTCTCATGAGCTACCTACGTTTTAAACAAATGAAAGTCATATCTCTGACAGCTATTGTTGCTTTCTAGTACAAGACCAAGAACTTAGCCTGACATTCGAATCTTGTTCTTTTAAAAAGTAACTCTAGTTTAACCTAATATGATTCAAAGTACAGGTTCAGGAGACAGATGACTTGGATACAAATTTTGGCATTATCCTGTTTACTATACAACTTTGGATATTTGTTATTTTTTAATAAAAATTATGTTAATAAATATATTTGAGACAATATTTCCCATTTCTAAAAAAATTAATTTACAACATATTGCTCAAGATCTAGAAACATTTTAAGGACCTTCAAAATTCTTTGAAACATAATCACATCCATGAATGTCAGATATAATAAATCTGAGGACAAGATATACAAAATGAAAGGGAGAAGCAAACAAAAATATATATATGGTCTACTCTACACGGGGAAAAGTCAGGTTCTAAATACATAGTGCCAACTAAGATGAACTCAAGGCTATAAGTGAACTCAAGGCTATAAGCAAAATTACAAATAAAGTTTGGATTGGGCTCCTCCTCCACCTCTTCCTGAAACTATCTACTACCAGGCACCTCTCCCCCCTTACTTCCCCTCCCTAACTCCCCCTCTCTCACCAACTACTCCCCTTTCCTGTTCCTGGACACATAGTGCCTCCAAATTACTCTTTGGCTACCTTCAACAGCAAATTTTATTGAGTCACTATGAAGTATTAGTAAGACTTCCAGTGTTTCTTTCTTCTTCTGCCCTTGACTGCCCTCTACTTCATCAGCCAGTATATAAAATACATATTAATCTTGTCGCATCTATTTTCTACCAACTTCACTTCCTTTCCTGACTTTGAAGATGACTCCAGGAGATCCAGTTTAAAAAAAAAAAAAAAAAAAAAAGTCCTCTGGTAGACAGTATTATGTCTTGACAAAGCAAACTCAGAAAAACTCTGAATCTCATTCCACAAATGAGGAAAGCCCTCTACATAATAAGTAATTCAATTTTTCAGTCCAAAATTGGCCAAGAAAAAATACAATGGGGATAATTTCCAAATAGATAAGAATGTGCTATATTGATTTTTATTTCATAGATAAGGGGTTAAAAAAACAGCAAATTAAAGGAAGATGAGAAATATAAGCACATTAGGGAGCTAAAATGATTGGAGAGAATATAGTTATTCTTCACGTATTAAGGTAATCAAACATACTTAACTCTAACTGCACTAACCAAAAACAGGTAACTTAAAAGATGATCAACAAAATTCACAAACATTCCTTCATGTTGTAATATATCTATACAATGATCTGGTTATCTGATCCTGGCCAGTGCATGATCATCATCTGAGAATAGAAATCACTTGACTTCTATATCATAAAATCAAAGGTTACAAAGAATAAATACAGATAAGAGGGTAAGAGCTTTTCTCTTAAATGACATAGGTTATCTAATCAGCAAATTCCTAAGCAATTACAGATCTGTTTATGCTAATTCAAATTAAGGAATATACTTATTTTTAATTTTACATTCAGGATTTCCAAAAAGTGTTATATAGAACTAGAACCTCCCAAACTTTACAGAAGCATAAATCAGAAGATACGGAAAAGTGACATTATTAAGAATAAGAAAACTAAGATGAAATGTTTGGTACCTATATGCTGTTCCAGCTTTGACTGCATCAACATTAGACCCACATTTAAAAAATTAGGTTTCCAAGCTAACAAAATGGTTAACCCCAATCATAAAGTTTTTGTTTTGTGGAATACAAGTGATAATATATAAGGAATGATCCATAAGGAACCACCTAAAGGTCATCAGATTTTCCTTTTTATTATGATTAAACTGGATGTTCACACACACACACACACACACAAATATCTTAATTGCAAAGCGAAATGACCAACAGAGAAAAATATCCTTAATATGAAATCAATGTGTACCTTCTGAATGCTAACATATCAGAATCATCAAGGAAAACAGCAAAGATATAATACAAGATGACTATTTTAGAAGTTTCTAAATTTATTTTCTCCTCCCCCAAATAAGCTATTCTCCATGTAACTGCTGTCTCTCCACTTTGGACAAAGGGCCTCCCTATTTCAACTATGCACTATCCATGCCACATCTGTAAAAGTGAAGAGTAGGAAGGGGGAGTTATGTACATTCATGGCATCCTACTCCTTTTCTTTTCCTATCACAGGAAAGCTAATGACAGCCAAGAGAAGTAGAGTGGAAAAAACACTAATACAGAACTCTTCTCCTATCCATATTCTTTCCGGCATACCACACTGATTGAAATGAACTGAAAATACCTCAATAATTTATAAAGGTCATATTTTTCACACTAGTTTTATTAATTTAAAAAAATGTTATTTGTGCTTTCAGCCCTAGGATGAAGGGGTTTTAGGATAAGAACGGCAGGGGGTATGGTCCAGTCTAGTATGATTCCAAAGACACCAGGCCTACACGGAGATCCTTCTCTCAAAGCTGCTAAACTCCTTGAGACCACAGATGACATGACAAGCAGGCAACGAGTACTGATCTAATAAAAAGCAAAACCAGGAGATACCCCAGAAGCCGAGGTTCTGGCAATCAAGCTTTCCTGGTTTAAATGACAACTTGAAATACTTTAGCAGAAACAAAATATATTAACTCTTTAAGGGGAAAAAAACCTAGATTTTAACTTTCCAAGTACCAGGTAAACACTAACATGATTTACATCATAATGTTTCAACTTTATGGTGTGAAAAGTAGGGTATAAAGGGGGATAAAGGTACAAATAATTCAGTTGAAAAGATTTTCTACAGAAAACAGTCTGTAAGGTATTTACCAAATTTCTTTTCCTTTTTTTAAACATATGTTTATTGATTTCAGAGAGAGGAAAGGAGAGGGAGAGAGAGATAGAAACATCAATGATAAGAGAGTCACTGACCAAGGCCGCAGCCCAGGCATGTGCCCTGACTGGGAATCGAACCCTGATCACCTGGGTCCTAGGTCATCGCTCAACTGCTGAGCCACGCCCAGCTGGGCTTTACCAAATTTCTAAAAATGGAAGGTTTTTAAGAGGGTTGTAAGAAAAT